CCTCCAGCCGTGGCCCCCCAGCTCTGTGCTCTCCTCCACTGATGGAGCACCCCAAAAATCCCTTCCCCCCTCTTGAGTGGTGCAATTCTATTTACTTTCCTTCCCCCTCCCTATCTCACCCCAAATCTCTCCTGCAGCCTCTGAGCCTCGCTCAGCACCACCCAAAGTGCACCAGGAGGGGCGCAGAGCCCTGGGTGAGCTGGGTGCTCCCTGTCCTGTCCCCCCCTGCACCCGCTGCTGGTCATTACTGGTGTTCTCAGCCCAGTCTCAGTCCACCCCACACTGGTTCCTGCCTGGAGGCATGTGAGCAACATGTGCTTGGGTAGCTGAAGCCTTCCCGTGGTGCTGGTGGGATGTCTGGAGCATCCCAAACCCAGGCACTGGGGTTGAGGCCATCATGGGTGATGCTAAGGCTGCAGGAAGGGTTTTATCCCAAAAGCAAAGGCGGGTGTAGGGGTGGAGCAGCAGCAGAACTCACAGTAGTTTAACTGTGCCACACGTTGCATCGTTCGCCAACTGCAGCGCCCAGCACGGGCTTTTAGCCCGATACAAGGAGCAAGGACTGGGAGCAGCTTGTGCCCCGCAGCCTGCCCGGTTCTGCAGTGGTTCAGGTGCTGGTTTGTAGCAAACCCTCTGGTTTCTGTCACTTTGCCCTTGGTCCAGCCTTGTTCCTGGCTCCTGCAAGGACTGAAGCGCTTCTGTTGGCTGCTTTGCCTTTAGCTTGGCTCAGATAAACCCTGTGGAGGGGAAGATCATCTCGTGGGTCAGGCAGGACGTGAATTGTGTTGCAGGGTCACATAAGGTCCCTGCACGTCTCCACTGGTGGCCTGGGAAGGGTGGTAGGAGCCGAGCAGCAAATCCACCATGCTCTGTGCCAGCAGACTCCAAGCGTGGATGTCCAGACCTGGCCACAGGGAGCGCTTGAACCGAACCCTCCCTGTCTCTGTAGGGGCTGCAGCGGTGCTGCGGGTGCTAGGGGAGATGCGTTGGTGCTGTGGGATATGCATTGGTGCTATGGGATATGCACTGGTGCTATAGGAGGTGTGTTGTGGTCACTGACTTCTTCATACTCAAGTATCCGTGTGCAAGCGAGTGCTCTCCGGTGTTCATGGATAATGCAGGTGTAGTTCACTCATGGAACAGGGCTGAAGATCCCATCAGAGCTGATCTGCAAAGTTTTATGGCTCTAAGTACTGAAATTCATGCTAATTTTATTGTGCTATTGTCATAACATTAATGACAAGCGGGGTGTTTGGAGGGTGTTTACACACGCATGTGTTCTTAAAGGATATTCACTTCCCTTTCTGCCCTCTCCTGTTGTGTAAGTGGCTTAAAACCTGCTTTCTGTTCCAGAGCCACCTGAGATCCCTGGGGAAGCAGCCCCGGGGGTGAGGTGGCAGCAGAGGCGGGCGATGGCATCCCCCAGCTCCGGGGCTTCCCCCCGTGCGCTGCGCTGCAGCACTGGGGATGTAGCACAACCATGAGAGCACGAAGGTGCACGGCTCCTCGTGCCTGTAGTGAACCAGGGTTTGGGGGTTCCCCCCAGGTTTCTTCTTGCACATGAAGTACAGGCTCTGCAGGGTTTCAAGCACTTAAGCTGGTTTCAAGCGCTGAGATCTAGTGTTGGTTTATCACACCTTGATTTAGTTTTCAGGTGTCACTTCGTGTTGCAGGCTTGCAGTACTGTTTGAATTTGAATCTTTTTGTATGTGTGACTTTGGAGGAGGGGACAGTCCCCATTTCTGCCATGGAGGAGGCAGTGGTGAGCTCCTGAATCCCTTCCAAGGCAGTTTGGAATACATTTGGAAGCACACCTTCAAACTGAGTATCTTCAGAGAGCTTCTGCTGAAGGCCAGGACCAGTCTTTTGCTTCCCATCTGCTCCCACGCTTTGCCCCTCACCAGTGTGTGCTGGATTACAAGCCTCCCCTCATCCCTCCTCTTGGGATGGAGCAGTTGGGGATTTGCTAATCCCTTCTCTTTCAGAGCACAGATTCCCTGCAGCCCACTCTCTCCTTGCTCCCACCACACTGATGGTTTTTCATGACTGATTTTAGCAGGAGACCTGTTGAAGTGGGGCTTCCCTTCGTGTTTCCGCAGGCAGAGACCTCGTGATGGCAACTCCGGACGTCAGTGTTCACATGGAGGAGGTGGTGGTGGTGACAACACCCGACGGTGCGGTGGATGGAAGCGGTGTGGAGGAGGTGAAGACGGTGCTGGTCACCACCAACCTGTCCCAGCACGGGTAAGAGACACAACTGATGTTCACCAGGGTGATGTGCTGGGAAACCTCCCACCCTGGTTGTACTGAGCTGGGCTGAGTGTATTTAATCCCCTGCTCCTTACTCCTGCATCACTTCTCGCAGCGGGGAGCTCAGTGATGCCTGGGCAGTCTCTGATTCCTTGTTAGGTCTTCATTGACACCGCTGGGATGGTAGGGATGAAAGGCTCCGCTCCTTGCTTTCTGCCCCACAGGAGCTTCCTTAGCTCCCTTGGTGGAGAGGCAGCCAGATGTGAAACTTGGGATGTGGCTTTGTTTGGATGCAGAATGGTTTCTGGTTTTGATGTGGCTCTGAGCCTTTGCAGACCCATGTGCAGCAGTGCAGTGTTGTCCAGGAACACAGAGACTGGCTCAAGCAGTTTGGTTTCCTTTCTCTCCGATCCCCTCTGAGGCTGGCTCAATCAGTTTGGTTTCCTTTCTCTCTTATTTCCCCTCCTGTTTTTCTTTGGAAACCTTTTCTCATCCTCTCCTGGATGTCCCCTGGATGGCTGGGAGCAGGACAGCTCTACACAGTGAAGAGAGGATGAGTTTTATTTAGTTGCAGCAGAGCAGAGCATATCTTAGCAGGCACTAGGAGATTCCCTGGGCTTTTTCCATGCATCTCTCTGGAGAAGGGCTGGTGGGCAGGCTCCTTGCTCCCCCATGCTCCAGGACAGTAGCAGGCTGATGGGCATCTTGGGCTTATAGAACAAAACGTGCCCAAGTCCTACTGTGCTGGGGCTCCCCTCACCAAGCAGGGCTGTGGGGCTGGTGGGGGGCAGCAGGAGCCACCCATGGCCTCTCCATAGCCTTGCACAGCAGCACTGCCTCCCTCTCCCTCTGGTTGCCCTCTGCAGCCCCAGCTGCCATAAGAAAAGTGGCTGCAAGCACAGGCTGGGATTCCTCGGCTTTGGCTCGGTCGTTGCTCACATGGGAAGTGGGCTTTCAACTTGTCTGGTGTGGTACTTAGAAACCAACCCCAGCTTGGGGGTTGCTGCCTCCTTCTTTCCAGTGCTCCTTTGGGTATGGCTTTGCTATTTTAAAAAAAGAGATTATGCAACCAGTGGTGAGGAGCTTAATTAGTTCGTGTGTTCTTAAGACTGACTGGAAAAGGCAGAGGGGAATGGGAAAAGAGTAACAACCAGCAAGAAGCTTTTCTCTTTCATCTGCAATTGGAAGGGATCTGTCCTTGAGGCTCTGAGCAGGGTGCTTGTGTTCCTGATCAGCATTCACAGTGCAGGCTTCTGCTGGAGACTTTGTTTTCTCTCTCAAGATTCCAGGCGAGGCAGGAGCGGAGGAGATAGGAGACAAGCCCGCTGCTTTATCAGCACACACTTTCTGCTCTTCCATCTGGCTGATGGATCCTCCCGGGGAGGAAGAAGAGAGCCATCCTCCCCTGGCTTCGTCATGGCAACCGGCGAAGGCAGGGCCGGCTTGGGGGGATGCACCGCTGGGGCTTGGGAGGTGTTTGAGTCTTCTCCTGCTTTTCCATCTGCTTCAATCTGTCCCTCTGGAATGGGATGGGGGAAGCAGGTGGAGAAACTCACCCTTCTTTTGTGGTTTTCTTTTCCCCACCCAATTACATCTCCATGGCAGACACAGACTGCTTTTCATACAAGCTGTTGAAGCTTGTTTCTCTCTGGAGGATGGGGTGGCACATGTGGGCTGGGTTATTTATCCCAGTCAAATCATGCCTTTTGGTCATTTTTTGGAGCGGTGTGAATGTGATGGAGTCCTGGAGGAAGAAGCTCTATTTCGGGTGCTGACTTTCTGCTGGTGTGTTTCTTCTGGATAAGTGGAGGTGTTTGATCTGGTGGCAGATCAGAGTTGGGGAGTGCTGGGCTTTGCATGTCTGATGTGGCTGCTGCCTCTTGGCACCCTGCTGAAGTGGAATTGCTGGCTTTTCTCCAAATGCATCTGGGGAAATGCAAGAACCAAGCAACAAACTGATGAAGAAAACCCAGGTTACAATTTTTCCCTTCTTCTCACGCCAAATTGCCACCTCTAGCGCTCACCCACGTGCAAATGCATTAGCTTTGAGTTCACCTTTTCAAATCCTTTTGTATTGCCCATCACCTTTCCCTCTCCAGGGTCTGTGTGGTTGGGCAGGAGCAGTGTGACATCCCACTGGGCCTTTCCTCCACAACTGGGGCTGCCTTCCTTCAGCTCTCCTTCTCTGAAGCAGCATCTCCTGAGTTACTCAGCTGAGGAGGCTGGGCGCTGCCCACACCACTGCCCTTATCTTGGTGCTGCTCCTCACCACGTACCTGCCCCGCAGCTGGCAAGGGAAGGGTGTTTTGAACCTGCGGTTCCACCCGAGTTGTGTGTTAGGAGGCCAGGATGGAAAAACCAGTTGCTCCTGAATTTGCTTGTCCCTGTGGCACCGCGGGTGGGGAGTGTGGTTGTCAGTGAGTCACTAGGTCCAATCTTTTAATTCAGCTGGTACCAAACCAGGGTAGATTGCAGGTTTGTTTTCTCCTTACAGCCTTCCTTAGGAAGTTTACATGCTGAAGTATGTGAAGAGTTAACTGTTTTTTCTTCCCCACCCCCGCAAGACAAGCTTGCTACAGTAGTTCGACATCTTCCATAACAAAACCAAACACACATCTTAAAACCCATTAGGAACGGTCCATGCTGAGAGCTGGCTGTGATGCACAGGTCAGATCTTATGGGTAACAGCATGGGACACCTTCCACTGGAGCAGGTTGCTCCAAGCCCCTGTGTCCAACCTGCCCTTGAACACTGCCAGGGATGGGGCAGCCACAGCTTCTCTGGGCACCCTGTGCCAGCACCTCTGCACCCTCACAGGGAAGAGCTTCTGCCCAAGAGCTCATCTCAATCTCCCCTCTGGCAGGTTAAAGCCATTCCCCTTGTCCTGTCCCTACAGGCCCTTGTCCAAAGCCCCTCTCCAGGTTTCTTGCAGCTCTTTTAGGCACTGGAATCTGCTCTAATGTCTCTCCAGAGCCTTCCCTTCTCCAGGCTGGACAAGCCCAGCTCTAATAGCCAGCTGTTAGTTACTATCATGGGTATACTGAGTTGAAAAAGGCTCAGAGGTTGGATCGTGAGGGTCTGTTGCTCCCATTGTTACCTCTGCTCTTGGATCTGCTGTTAGGGTTTGTCAAGCTCCTTTGTAGTGCGTTTGCAGCTCTTTGAGGTTCTGCTCTGAGAGCATCCCATGTACCAGGGGATTCAGGCAGTCCATGGCCCAGGCATGTTTCACACATGTTTGTCCTGGGGAAAGCTTCTCAAGCAAAGCTGCCAGAGGCTGGCAGCGACTTCTGAGTGAGGGGCCGTGCTGACAGCATCCCTCCACGCCAGCTCCCCAGCACGGGCTGCACTGGAGGCAGCTCACTGGCGCTGGGATTGAAAGGGAGGCGAGGCAGAGCCAGCCGGGCTGATGGCTGCGGTCCTGCTGCGGGGCTCTTCATCTCCGTGTGGAAGAATGGAGCTGATCCTCTCAAAACCAGAGCTGACTTCAAGCTCTTGTGGGAAAACGCAGTGCGAGTGGCTTGGAGCAGTGTCTCCATGGGGCATTGAGGCGGGGGGTGGCTTGTCCACGTGGCTTAACTCTGCTTCTCTGACTCTCCTACCAGCGGCGACATAAATGAAGACACGCTGGAGACCGAAAATGCAGCTGCTGCAGCTGCTGCTGCCTTTACAACTGAAGGAAGCGGTCCTAGGTAGGTGCAGCCCCTGATGTAGCCCCTCAGTTGAGCTGTGCCAGCTCCACCACCCCAGCGTGGCACAACCCTGTGCTGGGAGGGTCCAGCTGCCGGGGATGCTCTCCTGGGGTACCAGGGATGCTCTCTCCAGCACCCAGGGAAGCCCAAGAGGTGCAGGCGCTGGGTGCAGGAGCTGGCAGCTGCTGGCTGGGCTGCTGCTGCCCTCTCCTGGTGCAGGATGAGTCCCTGAGCCTGGCTGTTGCCACTGGCTCCTGCCCATCTAGTTCATGATGGGGATCTCAGCTTTGCAGCAAACTCACTGGCTTTGCTTACCAGTGAAAGTGAATTTAGTGATCAAAGGTTATGACCAGCTGGGCTGGAGTTGACTTAAAGCCAGTTTAAAACCAAGGGTGACTTTGTAATTGCCCAAACACCCGATTTCTTTTGGTTTTTTTCAAGAATTGATGTTGATTTTCCAGCCCTGACCACTGATTTCTCACATTTCGCACACTCAGCTGCAGCAATATCTGCCTGGGCTGTTTTGCCTGGGAAATTTGGGTGATTGGATGCTTTAGTAGCCAAGTGCAAGTAAGTGGTGGCCACAAACCCCATCACACCCCACCATGCCCTGACTACATGTGTGGTTTTTAATCCTGAGCTTTAAAACTGCTTTATTATATATGTGCCTTGGGGTGCTGAACC